GTCTCGGAAATGCCATCTCCTGCGTTTTCTGCAGGAAATTTGCAGTAAATAAAGACGACGGAAAATTCAGTAATTAGTTGTTTATTTTACCCATTTATCTCTAGTGTTATCGGTATAAAGATACAGACTGTTTCCGGCATCAAGGACGTTGATACACGGAAAGGTCGAGATGTGTACCCTTCAGACGGGCAACCTCTGTTATAATGCCGTCAGTATCAATTACGTCCTTGTGCTTCTGTATGTGCAGAATTGCAAGAGAGCTCAATCTCCCGTCTGTCATGGTCCTTCGAAAAAGGAGTTTGCAGTCTCTTCGCGCAAATGCTGGGCTCAGCTGTGCATGTTGACACAGGATAAGTCAACAAAGTTATGAGAGCTATACTCCGGGATAGAATTGTAGTTGGATTGGTCAAAAGTCTCAACCAAGGTTTGTGGCTTCACATTCAGATCCATTTCACTCCACTTACTCAGTAAAAGGATAAAGGAAATCCTAGCACAAAAACACCAATATAATGCGAAATATTTATCCCAATTTAATTATAAATATGCGTTCAAGAAATGAAAAAAAAATCTATATATTTTTTCCAGATTTCAGCTGTATGCATAGGCATATGTGCGTACATGCACGCTACATTCCTGGTGGTAGAAATAGCTGATAGGTTTCTGGGCCAAGCTTTAAACTGGTAACATTTTGTTGTTGACAAAGAACCGCCGAAGCAAATTTTTTTTGCCAACTTTTGAAGGAAACGTGGATTTGCTTCATTCATGATGTGGTTTGACTACTTTTACATGGAAGGCCAGCCCTGGGTCTTAATATTTCGACCCCTCTTCACATTTTGTGCATTTTCAAAATCAAGCCTCTTAGAAAATAGTACCCCCCCCCCACCCCTCCCTGGGACTTAATGAACGATCGGTCCCTAATACACTTATGTCCAGGATCGATCTTGTTAGCAAAAATTTGCTAGCAAATTGCTTTCGCAATTGTCGCAAAAGAAATAATCGAGAAAATATTATGTCAGAAAATGACTTACAAATATCGCAAAAATCGCAAAAATAACAAATCTAACAAAAATCAAGACTTAGAAAAAAAAGAAGCCAAGAAGGACCCCGAAATGTCCGCAAATATCGCAAAAGTACAAGGATCTTTCTTGCTAGGTGAAACACCGGTGAAAAACATCGCAAAAGTCGCAAAAATAACAAATCTAAAAAGAATCAAGACTTGAAAACAGAAGAAGCCAAGAAGGGCCCTGAAATGTCCGCAAATATCGCAAAAATCGCAAAAGTAATAGAAGATAAAAAAAGACCAGCTTTCCTTTATCATCCTAATCATTCTCTCTCTTCCACTTCCCCCTTTTCTCCCCTTACACTTGAAAGTTTGATGCACGCTATAACAAGTGAACAGCTTGGCAATGAAAACTAACCTGCAGTAATAGAAATTACAAAAAAGCAAGAAAAATTCAAGCAAAAAAACCTAACCAAGCAACAACTTCTTTCGTACAGGGTTCTGGCTCTTCATTTCACAAGTGATTTTCCGCGTGTATCCCATTTTCTTCAAGCATACCTTCTTACGGAACGCGAACTAAAGCTTTTTTGCCTGGATACGCTTCTTGTAGAAATAATACTGACTTTTGAGTGTGTTTTCCCGTGCGCAACAACAAGGTCTCTCACGAACTCGATAAAGTAGCTTATCCAGGTAGTTTACAGGCACTCCACTCAAATATTTAGAAACAAATAATTCAAATACAACATAACAGGATTAAAAGCCACCAACTGGCAGAGTTGGCAGTATTTACAATTACAAGGGTGGCCGAGGATTTGAACTTGGAATGACCGAACAAATCGATCGAGCAAGTCGCTAGAGCGAGACTAGAACCCGGGACCGCCGGATTGCGCTAACCACTCGGCCACGCTCGGCCTCTCTCGATGTTCATGTCGCCCATATTTAGACTGAAAACAGCTCCAATGTAGAACGTCCCGCTTCTTTTCTGAAGCTCATTGAAAGAAACTATCGCGGACAACTAAAAGGCCCTTCCTGCCCACCATGTTAAAGGCGCTTAACAGTGAAATTGTTAGGAGCCGATTAGCCAGAAATCCACAATCTGTTCAGCGGCACATACCCATCTGGGCCAAATTAGCCCTGTAAATGAGGGTATATACTTCTGCACTTGTTGGGTCCTCTCCTCTTGGTACTTTTGTCGCCTAGGGCTTGATCGATTGATCAATTCTTCGTTTAGAAAACAAAAATTGAAAATTGATCGCAGCATTCAATTTTGAATTGTCTTCTAAATTCACGTCATTGTAGTTGACAGATGACTGCGAAAACGGGTTTTTTCGCGAATAGCTAAAATATCCATGGTTCGACAACTGTTTTAATATTGACTGTAGAAAATAAGAGCTGTGTGTTTATTTTCTCATTTTTGTTTACAGGGGAAAACGGGGAAACAATTATGAAACATGTTTAGCCATTATACTGGAAGAAAAAAATTGGAAAATCGAAAATTGACATCGATTTTCAACCACGGACCCCTGAAACGAGGGTCTCAATGGGGTTAACCGATAGCCGTAAAACAGCCAAAAATTTAGTTGATAGCCGTAAAAATTGAAAAATTGTAACCGTTAGCCGTAAATAGAGTAAAAAAGAGTCAACCGTAAAAGAAACTGTTCCCTAGATTTCCCACTTTTAAGGGAGGTACAAAACTCACTTATGGTTGCGTTTTCCATTTCCCATTTCCCGGCTAGTGTGACTCCGTACGCACGTTAGGCGAAGCGCCTTTTAGGTGTTGACCAAGACCTAGGCTCCATTTCCTCCACTCTCTCGGGGAACTAATTTTTTCCATAGCGAAAGTGTGACTTCTTGCTGGGGATTAATATTTGCGATTTTCAGGAGGTCGAGCCCTCAAAACACTAGTGAAACAACACGCAGAGATGTCACTGTTTGTAAAACACGTTGCCGATAAACAACATTTCCCTGTTTTTCTCTGACGCTACGGTAGACATTGCCGTCCCTGTACGGCGTCTTACCACGCAATCTCGGTCAAGGCATTTCGGTGGCGAACTCGCTAGGACCACGTGACCCGAAACGCATTAGCCGCGCGAAATAATGGGGCCTACGGACAAGGCAACGGCAGACAGTCGTTCCGTACAGTCCTTCGCTATCATTAAAAACACTGGACACGGGAATTTTGTTATTGGCCGTTTTCGCGCTAGAGCCAGAGATGGATTATCCGTCTGAGACTAGCCTGTGTACAGTAGCGCCCTCCCCACAGACACCCCTTCTCCGATTTTTTTCTGAGGGAAGGGGGCGGCTGTACACAGGCTATCTGAAACGGGATAGTCCTGTCTTGAAACTGTCCGTCGAAATTGACGGATAAAGTCAGGCGGATTGTTCATTCAAAATTATAACTATTCCATTTTCAAATTACGAAGTATTACCTATCTGACGCGAGTCATCAAACGGATAACCCGTCTCACACGAGTAATCCGTCTCTAGTGTGAAAACGGCCATTTCTGTTATGATGGATGTCGCGCCCCGGCCTTGAGTTGGGCGTTTGCGTGTCCGCTTTTGCTTTTTCACAAAGATTATTTTTAAATTGACTATTGACATTTCTATGTATAAAATAATATTAGAAGTGAAATACTTCATAAAAAGTATGATCTATCAAATGTTAAAATTTTTCAAAAGAACAGTTTGTTTCATCCCGAGATGATCTGAAGACCTTTATTTCGATTTAAAGATACAAAAAATACAGGTTAATTAATATTTAACTTTTTGAAACAAAAAGAAGTTAATTTTTAACTTTTTTGTTAACCGTAACTGAAAAAAATTAACCGATAGCCGTAAAATAGCCAAAATTTTAGCCGATAACCGTAAAAGCCACCACCCCATTGAGACCCTCTGAAACATCTTCAGGTCGATCACTCGATCTTTGAGAATTTTTATGCGTCAGTGGCGAATGAACCCAGAGTTAATAAAATCACTGAAAGCAGTCATTATTTTTAGTCAGTTATTTGCTAGCCTCCCGAGCAGACGTTCTTAGGGGTTCGTCACGTGTTCCTGTTAGTGGGGCAGGAAAACCTGACGAACCCATAAGAACGTCTGCGTGGGAGGAAAAGCTCTAGATAACATCGACCTAAACCAGATGAGTCATCGATATGTCAGCGGCGACTTACAAAATGACTGAAATGATCACGTCGACTTCCGCTCACTTGATCGATCGCAGCGAAGTTGTTAAGTTGAGTTAGTTTGAGTTATAAAACGGTCAATACTGTCGTTTCCAGTTTATATCACTCAGAAAAATGTTAAATCTGCAATAGACTCAGCTGTGTTGCATTGAACGACGCGGCTTATGGTCTTCCCAAGGAAGGCTGGTTTCGGTCGATGGTCAACAAGTCACGAAATCCTATCTAACATCGACCGAAACCTAACCGGAACTCAGTTGCGGCTACGAAAAAACCGAAATAAAATAAATCCCGCGAGAGTGCGAATCCCATCCCCGGAGGGGTACTCCCATACATTGCCTATACGGGTATGTGCCGCCCAACGGGGTCGTGATTTTGAAGCTCCTGATTTAGAACGGGGTATCCATTTCAGAGGCGTTTTCTAGAACGGGGTATAATATTTCGAACGCACGAAAGCTCCACTTTTGTAAGCAGCCATTTGAAATTATTCAAGGACAGATTGCTTTTAAAAATACGGTTCAATGCGTTAACAAGCAAACTGTTGTACTCTTAGAACGGAGTATAAAAAATTGGCCCATTTTTAGAACGGGGTATCAGTTTTAGAGCGAATTCTAGAACGGGGTATAAAAATTGGCCCATTTCTAGAACGGGGTATCAATTTGAGGGGAATTTTTTTTAGAACGGGGTGCTAATTTGGAGTCCCGGGCGGCAATACCCACCCAAAAAATACCCGACTGCCCCCCCGGGATCCCATCCCAGTTTTAATGCTGTCATTTGAGTCTCAAACAGTAGTTTTCCAGCCTTTCGACTTTCACCTCAGAAAGTTTAAGAAGTTCATAATAAAAAAAGTTCTACTTCCACAATCACATGCCAACATTGGCGCCAAATCTAAAATTTACCTACTGAGAATACTCTTTGAAGGACAATGGTGGGAGCAGAATCAACCGATACACTGTGGTTATCTCTATTTTAAGTCGCATACGATCCATATCAGGAGCCGATTGCTCCTGTTCATGTTCAGGATATATAAGCCTAGGAGCTTATTTTAAAAAGCGTATGAAATTGCCACTACTACCTGTTTAGCCGTTTATGATATTTAATTTAATAAACAGACAAGAGGATTTTCTAGCAGTGGTAAGCACTTTGTGCAAGTGTCCTCCGGCTAATTTGTATTTTCCGCACGCGGTTTACAGTATGAAAAATCACGTTTGTCGACCATCTTTATTCTTCAAGCTCACAGTAACTAATATATTTTAGAAATTTTTGTAGCTTGAGTTCCGGAAGGGGTACTCCAGATTTCAAGTGACCGGGGTGATCGAAGGACTTTTTGGGGTTTAGAATTTTCGATTTCGGGAGTTTTTTTGGGTAGGAAAATTTTGGCAAGTATTTTTTTTTGGTAGCTTGATTTATAGCCAAATTCGTTGTATCGCGCTGCGAGTTTGCAAACTTCGAATGGGTTTTTCTGTTCCGTCAATCACTTGAGTGGGGGCGGAGTTAATGCAAATCACAATGCAAAGCACCCGACTTAGCCTAAATTTCATCCGATTACTTCGAGTCGTTACTACTCCCTCAGTATAGGGAGTAATAACGACTCAAAGCAATCGGATGAAATTCAGGCTACACTCGACTAGCAATGCACCAATCACAAGTAAAGATGTATTTCCTAAGAGGTCCGCTAAGATGATTGACGGAACAGAAAACCCCAAATTCCTATGAAGTTGCAAAACGCGCAGCGCGTTTTTTGGGTATTCAAAACTAATGTTTTTGTTTTTCTTGTTATATCATTTTATGCTTCCTGGAAATTTTTATTATGGCTCGGAAATTTAGCCTCCCACGCAGGCGTTTTTAGGGGAGCTCGTTTTTCATGGAGGGATGAAATAATAAAATGGAGGGATGAAAAACGAGCTCCCCTAAAAACACCTGCGTGGGAGGCTATCGGAAATTTTGGTCCAGCGATTTTTTGAGGTTTTGTTTGAAGCCCAAGCGATTTTTTGGGGGTTTTGATTTTTGCCCCCATTCGATCATCCCTGTCACTTGAAATCCGGAGTACCCCCTCTGGACTTGAGTTAAGCTGAAAAGGATGCTGAATTTTTCACACTTTCCATCCCAAGCTAATCTACATTTTTCTGATTGGAAACTGTGTGGGGCAGAGCAATGAAAAAAACAAACCTTCTTAATGCCATAAAATGCATCTAAAATTGGAAATTTCAGGGAATTTTGGTGGATTTTAACTCCGGCCCTAAAGTCCCCTTTCCATGTCGTTCTGGATATTGGCCAGTTCCATTCTCCTCAGATGAAGTCTTGCAAATCGCCGGATTATTTCATCAAGGTCAGTTTCCATATTGTAGTGGATATGAGGTAAGGCGAGTCCAACATCTTCCAGATTTCAACTTGGAAGGCAATTTTATGACTAAAAATATATTTATTATGAAAAATCCGACCGATTTCGGTAAAACGGTGGAAAACGGTGTGGATCCGTGCCTGACCAATTCCCGGGCCGAATTGTCCTCTTGATGAATCTCCAACAACTAGCCATTGTCAGGTTGAATGTTGGCACCTCTGATTGTGGAAGTAGAACTTTTTATTATAAATGAACTTCTTAAACTTTCTTGGGTGAAAGTCCAAAAGCTGGAAAACTACTGTTTGAGACTCAAATGACAGCAATAAAACTGGGATGGGATTCGCACTCTCGCGGGATTTATTTTATTTCGGTTTTTACGTAGCCGCAGCTGAGTTCCGGTTTATAGATTTCGGTCGATGTTAGGATTTCGTGACTTGTTGACAATAAATAACATCGACCGAAACCAGCCTTCCTTGGGAAGACCATTAGCCGCGTCGTTCAATGCAACACAGCTGAGTCTATTGCAGATTTAACATTTTTCTGAGTGATATAAACTGGAAACGACAGTATTGACCGTTTTATAACTCAAACTAACTCAACTTAACATCTTCGCCGCGATCGATCAAGTGAGCGGAAGTCGACGGGATCATTTCAGTCATTTTGTAAGTCGCTGTTTACGTCGATTAGTCGATGTTATGCACCTATCAATGTAATGCCGGAGGGGGGAGGCAGGGCATGGGGTGGGGATTTGACGTTTTTCAAAACTTTGCAATCAAATTCCCTACCCACGGGCAAATCATTCCAGTCAAATGCAACCAAATTTCCCCACCCCAGGCTGCACATTGCTGTCAATCCCAAGGCAGAACCCAAGAAAGGCACAAAAAAAATATCTCCAAATAAAACTCTGCAAAGATACATGTTCCTTTGAAAGGTTTGAACCCAGGAGTCATTTCAAAAGGTTGAGTTTGATCGTCCGGGTGATCGTAGTCCTGAATAGGACTGTTGTTGTTGACAGTGACTGACGTTTCGACAACCTGTGCGGTAGTCATGCATCTTCAGAGTCAAAGTGAGTTGTATCACGTTAGTTGATGGTATTATACTCTGGTTATTGATCTGATTGGTCAATTATGTCGCGATGTTATTGGTCGTCTGTCAGTTAAGCCGTGATGTTATTGGCTATGAAGACTCGTAATCAGTGATTGGTGCGTTTCGACCCGTCTATTGTCACAGTTAAACAGTCGTCTATTGTTAGTCAAATTGTCAGTTCTCCAGTTGTTCTCTCGTAGTTAGTTTGATCTCGCCAATAAGTCGTTTGAGCGGCGCTGGTAACTGTTGGCTACGATTCAGTGGCGTTTGTTCTAAGTTAGTAAACCAGCTTTGTAAAGTAAGACGTTGATAGTAGTCTGTAGAATACGTTATACATGTCGCAGAGTCCCAGTCAATTTGACGATACATGTTCCTGTTACAGCTG